CCGCGCTCGGCGGTGCTTGCTGTTGGCATTCATTTTGCTCCTTTGCCGTTTTTGTCTATGCCTATTTGTCGTTTATATACCTAATTGCCTTCCTAAGTGAGGCGAGGAAATATTAAAAGTAGGTACCTGTAGATGCTCTGGCACTCTCAGACTTTTTTTGCAATATATTTTTCTAAATGTAATAAAATATACATCAGTTCTATACGTGCTACGTTTTCATATTATGCGTAGCACTACTACTACTAGGCGTAGGCCATGATAGATATTGTAGTAATATTGTAGTAACAGTAACATTTATTCAAATTGAAATATGTGAAAGTAAACAATTAATAGCTATAAATTACGATTATTCTAACTTACTATGGAACTGGTACCTCTGGATGGGTTGTTCGAGTCGCTCCTTTTAGTAATTAAACATAGGCAAATTTATATACGGAAATTGGAATCGTGAATGTATTCCATTGTTCTCCAGTTTGTGAGGAATTCGAACCAACTCGGCCACAGTCAACTCGGCCACAAGTCAACTCGGCCACAAAAAGTTCAACTCGGCCACAAATCAACTCGGCCACAAGTCAACTCGGCCACAAGTCATTTACTGGTACTACACTTTGAAGGAGTACCGTAATTCATCAAGTATAAAATACTAATTCTTTAAGTATTAATATACTTATTATTATTATTGCTATTATTATATTGTTGTCATTGTTGTTATTATTATTGTTGTTTTTATTACCGTTAGTTTTAATATTAATTATTAGTCTTAGCATTAATATTATATATTGTTCAAATTTTTGCTGATATATTATTATTACCATATAATTAATAATTTATTTTCGATTTATTATTATTATAATTATTATTATTTATTAGTCTTAGTATTATCATTTTAATAATAGTAATTTAAAAAGTTATTGTTATTGGTGTTATATTGGTATTTTTCTCATATTATAATTATTATTAATATTATTGTTGTTGTTGTCACCTTTATTATCGATATTATTACCCTATTATTACTAGTAGGCCTAGTATTATAAGTATCATTATTATTATTACTAATTAGTATTACTATTATTATAAAAATGAACATTATCTTTAGTTTATTATTGTTGTATTATTGCTATTATCACCTTCAATGTCGTTATTATCACCAATTAGTATTATTAAAATAGATATTTAAATATCGTTATTATTACGGTACCATACTATTATTACTATTAGTATTGTTAAAATAAATATTACTATTAATGTCGTTGTTGTTATCACCTTTATTATCGTCATAATGACTAATTAGTATTATTAAAGTAAAAATTTCTAATTTATTGTCGTTACTGTTGTTTAATATTGTTGAAGTAGAATGTTGTGAGTAAACAGAAGACGAACACATTAATAAATAACTCTTTTTAATTCGTAGGCAATAGCATTCAAATCTCTTTTGGTAGTGTGGTGGTCTTGTTTTACTAAAATATACTGTGTACTTCATTTCAATCATATTGAAGAAAAAGGATGCAAAAAATAAGATTTACATTTCATTTTAATTATAAATAACTTGTGGCCGAGTTGACTTGTGGCCGATTTGGCTGTAGCCGAACTTTTTGTGGCCGAGTTGACTTGTGGCCGAGTTGACTTGTGGCCGAGTTGACTGTGGCCGAGTTGACTTGTGGCCGAGTTGACCTGCACCCTTTGTGAGCTTATGTGGTTATTGATATTCAAATTTATTGACACATTTTAATTACGCTTGGCTAGAGAATGGCACTTCCATTTTCTAAAGGTAGTACGGTAAATGGCATTTTGCCCAATGAAGTGCCAGAATATGCGTGACGTCATCTGTCAAGATTGGCATTTCAGTGAAAAAAAGGGAACGAGTGTGTACAGTATATTATTAGAACATGATATAGGTAAAACGTACAGTACTCAATGGCGGCGCTACTGGGGCCGCCAGGCAGGGCTCCCGTCGTGGAGAAATACCACAATTCGTCGAGGAGGAAAAAACATTTTAAAAATTATATGTATTTTGTACATATCAATAGACTCTAAAATCGATTGAATAAGCCTTTGAGATCCCTGGGCTACGTCCCCTGGACCACTTTCGAAGGGTTTTTAGCGACGCCCGACCACGCACACTTTTATCTCGTCTGGGACATCAGCCCTCCCGTCAGAGACCTTAGACCCCCGTCGGGGAAATCCTGACGCCGCCACTGACAGTACTGTACATATCTGCTGCCAACGATAGGCGTGGTTCCACTCAGTAAGAGTCATGTCATTTAGGCCTATCTATATAGCCATATATTATCAAACAAGGACTGCCTGTACCAAACTCTTGGCATTGATTCTTCGCTTGGCTGCGGCCTTTCTGTAGTGATAGATCGATCTGTGGTGGCATACGGCCATAAACATAATTCCTCATGCCAAGTCTAATAATTATAATTGTCAATTTATATAGCGCATAATGTAAAATACCTCTCTTTACAGCATGGTGTGGGGAAAATTATTAAAAGTTTTACCTAACAAAAACAATGAGTAACAATAATGAATAACAACAATAAAAATAAATATATACCGGTAATGTTAATAAATAAATAATTTGAAAATACAGAATGTTATTTACTTTTTTTTAAAATAATTGTTAGATATTTATTTCCTTAGTCGTATTACCTTACTTACCGTACCTTTTACTCTTTTTTCCATGTCTTTTCCACTTTTCCCTTTATTTGCTCTCTCTCTCTCTCTCTCTCTCTCTCTCTATATATATATATATATATATATAATATATATATATATATATATATACAGT